TACGAAGTCGGGAGAGTAGGACTGGCTAAGCATGCACATAGAATTCCAAGCAGCAGCCCTACAGATCTCTAAAATGGACACATTCTGAAGGCAGGCCATCTAAGCTTCCTGTAGCCCAACCACAGCGAACTTTAAGACCCTGAGTTACTGGCCCCATAGCTAAGTTTGATATCATATAACAATACTACTTACACTTTGTGTGGATGATGTTCCCTTAGATTCATCCCCAAAATACTAGATAGTCTCAGGGATTTTCTAAATATTCTTCTCTGGAAATAAAGGCCGAGAACTCTTTGTATCTCTAAGGGCAGGGCTTCACTACCCGCCAGATCGGCGGGTAGTGATCGATCTATCGGGGGGTCGATTTATCGCGTCTAGGTAAACGCGATAAAATCGATCCCCGATTGCGCTCCCTGTCAACTCCGGAACTCCAGCTCGCGAGAGGCGGAAGTGGAGTCAACGGGGGAGCGGCAGCAGTCGACTCGCTGCTGTCCTCACAGCCAGGTAAGTCGACCTAAGATATGCCGAGTTCACCTAAGCGAAGTTGCGTATCTTAGGTCGACCCCCCCGCTAGTGTAGACCTGGGCTAAGAAACAGATTATAACTTCTCTGGGCTGAGACTGTCTGGGGAAGAACGTAGGAAGACCAATGCTCTGGGTCACATGGAAATGACACATCATGTGTGGTATAAATTTGGGATGAGGACAACTGGAATATGAGGCTTTTATAAGCAAAACTGATTATTTGACTTATAACTGTGCAGAGGTGTTATCAGACCCCAAACAACTACAGGATAGTGGAAGAAGCTTATGCAAATATTTCATGCCATTGGGTGATGGAGATTCCTAGTAGCGCCATAGTTAAGGCTGTGCTCAGATTTGCACTTAAAGCAAGAATACCATCTCTCTCTTTCACATAAATATTTGAATTTAGTCTCTAAATTCAACAGACTTACCTTTCATTGGCCAAGTGAATTCTCGATCATCTTTTCTTTGCGAAAGAGTTGCTAACTTTGGCAGAGAAACGAGCCCATCCTTAAGAACGTAACTCTCCAGCTCACTCAGCAGAGTGGGCAGCAGGAATTGATCTGGGGGGGATGTGGGGGGGCACGGAGGAGACATGGGGGTCTGAACAGGTATGGATAGCTGAACAGCGCTGTAAGGGAGCAGGGAGACATGGCTGCTGTGCAGGGACAGAAGCAGGGCTTGGTGCAGTGCCCAGGCATATCAGGCAGCAGCACCACCAAAGGGGGAAGGGCTGAGGACCATGTGTGGAAGAGGAGAAAAGGGGCTGTGGAATGGAGCATCGACAGCATCTGAGGCTGTGAGGAGTCAGCAGGGGTTGGAGGAGACAGAGTGATTGACAGCACCATGCTGAAGGAGAGGAGGGTTGGCAGAGGGCCACGTGGGAGCCTGGGAGATGGTACAAGAGAGGGCCAGAGCCTTGCCACAATAGCATTGGTACTTGAAGGGTCCCCTCTCCCCAACATCACTGCATCAGCTGCATGATGCAGAGGCAGCAGCACTAGGAGGAGCCCCCAGTTTACTGCATAGTCAAAGAACCTCACCACCACCCCCTGGCTCTTTGTACTCTTGGTGGAAAACACGAAGTGCTCCTCCACTAGCAGCAGCAAAGAGCTGACATGACTATGGAGTTTGCTTTGTTTTAATCATTCTCCCTTTTCAGCAGCAGTCAGCTGCCCACTGTAATCATCAGTGCAGGGAGGTGCTAGTAGAGAATTTGACTCAGCTCGAGGTAGTAATACCCTTGTCTCATGAGAATCCCTGCAGTGGGGCGTGAGCTGCAGACAGCATCTTGTATCCCCTAAAGAAAACATTTGTCAAGTGTTCTTGCAGCCCTAAAAAACGTGTGCAGGCAGCCGGATACCTCACCTGGAAGCTTGGTTGATGGTCTTTGCTAATGTCTCTATGGCATCATCAAGGTAAAGAGCAAATTCCATGTTAGCAGGGCCAGGGCAAACCCACCCAGAGAGCCTCCCATGGCCTTAGCAGCTTTCCACAGCATTCAAATTTGCACATAAGCCCAAGTTTCCAGGCACTACCTAACCAGCAACTTCCCATTCAGTTCAAGGAGGTAAAGTCGTAAGTGCAACGGCCTCGTTGGGACCAGCCCATGCTAACTGCATTAAGAAAAGCAGGCCTATGGAGTCCTGTAATTACTTCAACACTCTTGCCTTGCATGAGATCTCTCCAGCAGTTTTCAACAGAACAGTGACAGCTTTGGCACAGGTACACTGCTCAGCAGTAAGCTTCAGCCTATTACAGCAGAGGATATTCACCCTCAGTGTTCTGCAATTTGATAGAAGATGGCATCAAGAACCAGCAATCAGCAATTTATTAGCCCTTCTTCCCCACTGAGTCAGGAGGTTGAACTTCCTTCTTCTTCCCTACACACAGGCATCCCACACCTCCATGGACTTCATGCTACCCTAACCCTTACCTTCCTATTCAGAGTAATTTAGGACGTCACCGTGGTTCTTTCGTGCCCCCAGCTGTTCTCACTCCTTGACTTATTTTCACCGCCAATCTGCTTCCTGGACAAATAATGGAAGAGGGGGCACTGCAGCTGGAAAGTGTGTGAAAAGCAAGGCAGAACTCTAAAGAAACAGCCCTGTTACATCCCCTTCCCCATGCTCACACTGCTTCCAGTAGCACCTCTGGGAATTAGCCAGTTTGCCAATCTCACCCAACTGGGCATTAACTGCTTTCTAAACACCAATACTACAACCCACTTCTCTGTGCTCACCCAGTTTATCAAGTTGAGCCCTCACCTGTTTCCTAAGCAGCAGAGCCCTAACTCATGGTTTTAAGATAGAGTCAGATCAGCTCCTTCATGCTCTGTACTTGTCATTCCTTTCTGCATCCCCACTTTCTGTTCTTTGTAGTGACGGCTCCTAAGTCTGGCAGTGAGTAAGTCTAGAAAAACTGTCTACTCAGCCTCTTAAAATGTGCAGAAGAAGTTACATGATCTGTTTTATATCTCCACTTTACAGCAAAGATTGTGTAGACTTACAAGTGTTAGATTACAGTAATACTTAGAGAGCATGTAGGGGTACTCCCCCCAGAATGCTTCAGAAAAAGGGGCATGATTCCTGAGAACAGTTATCAGTCTCTTTCCCAAAAGTTTCCATTAACGCTAACACTGGAGAGATTGTGTTGTGTATACTTTCATCTCACCATAAAATCATACATTAAAAATATGGACAAATTTAAAAGATTGCACTGTGAAACTAATTCATTTTCTTAGACTAGATTACTATATATATCAGCATGGGCAGCACTTAAGACTTGGCTTTTGTTTGAAGGACATCTCTCATTACACTTCTAATATGGAGTCTGGGAAAAGAAAATATATTAAAAAAACAAAAAACCACAACCCCAAAAACCTCCGGTTTGCTCACCTAAGTAGATCTTAAGACTCAAGTTCTCTTGATCTAAAAATTAACTAAAAAAATTAAAATTTACTACAAATTATCCACAACTGAAGAAATTCTTCACTTAATGAATAGACAAGGAGTATTAGCTATTCGCACAACTAGCACAACTCTAGCTTAACAAATGTAGGCAGTACAATGAAAGGAATTATCTATTTTGTATCATTTTATCTAGCCAAGGATTTCAAATTGAGAATTTTTATTTTTCAGTTTATGAACCAAGCCTTCACTGGTGGTGCACAGGGAGACATTCAAAAACTATTCATATATATTTGTTTTAAATATTTAAATCCTGATGCATTCCTCTTTTTGAGCTATTTTCCAAATTCAAAGAAAGCACAGATTCTACAAAAGTGAAGAGCACACGTAATTTGGGATTAAAAATACTGTCAGTTTTATTTCAGTAAAAATGAGTACAGGATACACTATTTTTCAAAAAGTACAATGATGAAGAATAAAACATTCAGAGAAATGAGGAGCAAATTCTACTTTCTGGGAATTCAAACACTAACCTTCTTCTAGCTGTTTTAGTACTACATTTTAAATCTGCTGATGCTACTATACCTGCACAGTGGCCTGCTTAATATAGGGTTTAGATGCCATAGGAGAAATGTGTGGGAAACACTGCCAATTCCAGTGTGATGAGTGTAGGAACCTGAGACAGGTGGAAGAAAGAGATACTGAAAAGACAGATAATGGGGCAGAACAAGGAAAAAGCACCTCTCAAAGGTTAGCCCCAGCATCTATCGAATGTCAGTTTCAGTGCTTGCTTTGAAAGTGTCTAGAAATGGTTAAACTCATATTCCTGGTCTTTTCCTATGTCTGATATGATATTAGTTTGACTCCTCAGGGGAATAATGAATGTAGTTATCATGCAGACCTGTAAACTAAGGCCCTCTTTCCACTGTGAAGACCATTTGGAGATTATCCTTTGGGGATTTCCACATCTTGATTTTAGTTATCCGGTTCCCAAACATGGGATCACTATATTTTAGTTTAATTTACAGTACTTGAGACACTGCCCAATTTTGTAGTTAATTGGCAAAGGGTGTCAGAGCATTTGGGTGGCATTTATTGCTTGTACAACACTTCTTTCACACTAGTTTGGATTCTGCACCCTCCCCTCCCCAAGATGAACAGAAGCCACAGAAATCAAAGGATTATATTTTTTCTTAGAGTATCACCTTCGTGTGCATTAAGTTAAAAACCAAATAAACAAACAAGACCTCTCTCAGACATGTAAACTGCTAAGGAGCTTCAATGCCAATAAATTCCTTACTTTCAGTTAAAGCTTAATTGATTGCAAAAGGCAGAAGAAAGTTTCGTTAGCAACTGTATTATGCTAAGTATTTTGCTACATTTCTAATATGACTAAATGTTTTCCAAACAGCTGAAGTGTGAGTTAATATTTTAGTTGGTTTGGACAAGCTGCATACATTATTCTTGCATAAGCTGTACATCAGACTAGGTGCTGGAAGTATTTCTGTAGGTGCGAGCGTTTTTTAAATATGTGAAAGCCACACACACACACACACACACACACACACACACACACGAAAACAAACATTAGCTAGACCGTTTTCTGTTGTCCTTCATCAACCTCCACACTTTTCTCCATGATGTATGTTGAGGCCACTTTCCTGCATTAGGAGTTAAAGAATTCTGCAACACTCTTCAGTACTAAAATGTGGCAGAGCTATAGTATAATCCTGGCATTTCAAAATTCCCTAACATATAAGTGTTTGGTACACTTAGATGGCACAGCATACTGATAAGGAAAGAGGCACATGTGGTTGGTCACAACAGAAAGAACCAGTAAAGGCAAGCCACAAGTACACATTATTGCTGTTGTACTTTTTTCAGTGAAGGAGCAGGAAACCCACTCGACTCATATCAAAGTAATTAAATCTAGAAGATTAGATTCTGTTAATATTTGTTAGAGTCTGTTTATGGCAACATTAGGAGTCACTGAATCAGCAGTGATGATGGTAGAGAACGGACTCAAAAAGTCTGCAAAGAGTAATAAAAACACTGCTTGAAAAGATTTGACATCATCAATCTTCTCTCCCCACCACTCAATGACTTTACAGCTTTCTCGATTTCATGCTGCTAATTTAAATGAAGATGTGAAAAGAAAAGTTGGCCAGAAGGTCTTTTCACTGAACATTGTCAGGTTCCTATCTAAAGAGAGCAGATCTAATGTCTCACCCGTATAAAAAAACAAAACAAAAACACAGTTAGTTGCAGATCCTGGGATTTTCATCTATAAAAAATTTTCCAGTCCAGAGAAGATTCCATGTATGAAGTTGCAAGAGAACTTGCATATCCTGCAAATAACTGATGTTTCTATGTTGTTGGTCCAACAATTGCTAGTTAATTTGGCTATTTTTGCTCATGCAACATATGACGTGCAAAGCATGCTTTGCAAGTAGACCTACAGTGTTATAAACGGAGCAAGCTATAAATAATATTTCAGAAGACAATCTCTGTGTTAAAACAGTTGAAGTGTTTTATAAAAATGGTAACAGACTAAATAAATTAAATCTCTGTTTAAAACAAACAGCCATGGGAATAGTGACCTGTTAAAACAAACATATGATACTTAGACACATGACAAACTCAGCTGCATATTAAACCTAAGGCAGGTTAGAAACGACACTGGTTTGAAGTTTCAAGTAAAAAACTATGCATTGTTTGCACTGTTGCACCTCTCTGGTACCAACTGCATTGTTTGCAGTTAAATACAATTGACAGAAGAAATGTCAGACACGTGATTAATAAATTTTAAAATATATGGAAATTCTACTTTCCTCATAACATTACTGTCAGGAGGTAATTATGACAAACAAGGCCAGTTCTGGTGTGCTACGTAGGAGAGGCCAGTTCAGGAAAGCATTTTAAAATATTGAGGTTAAAGGGTTAAACGTGTTAGAAAGCAACATTTTGTACTGTGCTGTAAACCCTGATGTGCTTTTGGATGAAGAACACTAGGTAATCCTTAAAAAGTTCTAGTATCTTGATTAGGTGCAAAATTCTCCAGTTGGTAGATCAGATCTACAGCAGCATCAACATCTGGTACAATATGGTCTGGCTCTACCAAAGCAGGATCAAATCTAAAATCTCTGTGACCATGGAACACAGTCTCAGTTATACTCTCTCTGGTGTCAGAGGGCACCTCTGTGTGAGGATTGTAAACCCCAGTACAAACAAGAACAGACCTACAATTGGTGGCAGTAGCAGGTGCTAGTTCATTTTGCCAAGTGTGGTCTATTTCATCATCCTGAGAAATAGTGGCAGATCTGGTCCCAGCAGCAACTTTGGCCTGGATACGCCCTTTGGAACCTTTTCTGGAATTCTTCTCTTCAAGGTAGCGATTATAAAGGTTAGCACCATAGATATCAGTCATTAGGTTGTCCCTGGAAAGCCAAAAATATGGTTTCATCAGCAAAGCACAGTCAAATTAGCAGATTTCAGATGTATCAAATATTTTTTGCAAAGTTTTGGTAAACAGAATTCCATCTCCCCACACAAATACATGAAAATATGTGTAGCATTTGATCACGATCTCACATCAGTATACAGATAGGAAAAAAAGTTAGCCCAACAATAGCTATTTTCATCATTCATGAACAAAGCTACCGTTTAGTCATGGGTATTTTTAGTAAAAGTCATGGACAGGTCACTGGCAGTAAAAAAAATTCATGGCCCGTGACCTGTCCATGACTTTTACTATATACCCCTAACTAAAACTTGGGGCGGGGCGCTGTGGGTGCTGGGTGGGGAGGGGGTGGGCGGCAGCGCACGGCCCAGGAACTGCAGCCAATGGGAGCTGCGGGGGGCGGCGCCTGCAGGCAAAGTGCGGAGCCCCTTGGCCTCTCTGCCTAGGAACTGCAGGGACATGCCGATTGGATCCGGGAAGCCCCTCCTCCAGGTAAGCGTCGCCCCACACTCCAACGCCCTGCCCCAGCCCTGAGCCCCCTCCCACACACCCAAACTGCTGCTGGCCCAGGGGCTGCCCGGCTTGGACAGCCCCTCAGCCAGTACCAACCACTGCAGAAGTCTCAGAGGTCATGGAAAGTCATGGAATCCGTGACTTCTGTGACAGACATGCAGCCTTATTCATGAGACATTATAGATATGAAAAATTCTTGCTAATGCAGACAGCGGGCCAGAAAAAAAAACATGCATTTATTAGCAGTCCTTGCCAATAGTATATTCCAACAACCTAAAAATCAAACGTCTTTTCCTTAAATACTTGCACAGCCTACTTCAGAAAATGAAACTTTTAATTGGGGAAAAAGGAGTTGTGTATAAATTACTCCAAATTCTTCTACAGAAACTATTCATACAAAAAAGTTAAGGAAATGTTATTGGTTTTCAAAGTCAAGCAGTCTAAAGTTGGGAAATGCCAGAATTAAGTTTGCCCACACATCCCATACATCTTCCAGCATCTGGAAATGAAAGAGACAGGAGTCCACATTCACTTCACAGCCCTGGTTCATTCTGTCAGTGGCATCCATCCTGTGGCACTTAAGGAGATAGGGAGTCAAGTGGAAAAAATACACTATGTGATCATGCAATTAAAGACTGAGACATACACATAAGGGTTCAGAACTAAGGCTGCAAGGGCCACTTTCATTCTGTAATGTCCTAACTTGAGTTCTTGACTTGCAACCTTAGCTAGATTCTTTTAACAATTTGTAAGTGTATTCTCCTAGATTAAGAAAAAATACATTTTACTATGTGTAATTAACCACCCTCCCATGATGACTGATCAGTGCGGGAGGGTGAACCCTAAACTTTCAGCATAGACTAGTGGTTTCAACCTGGGGTCCGTGGACCTCTGGGGGTCAGAAGACTATGTCTAAGATTTCTAAAGGGGTCCACACCTCCAATCGAAATATTTTAGGAGCCCACAAATGAAAAAAGGTTGAAAACCATTGGCACAGACGTCTACCAACTGAACTAAAGAACTAACTACATCTGGTGGCAGAAGGCTGTTATCTTCCATGGACCAGACACTGCAAGATGACATGTAACACACAAACAGGGGGTTCCATTATTCAGGTGTTGCCACATTTTACAGACAGCATAGCTAAGCACAAAGAATTGGAAATGACACACTGTAGCTAAGTGGTTGGGACATGGGCCTGCCATAACTGAGTTCTGGGTTCTCTTCCCAGCTTGCGCAGACTTTTGGTGGGATATGATAAAAAAAAAAAAAAAAAAAAACAACAATAAATAAGGGTTGTGAAGGGCACAGAATTATTAGAATTGGTGTGGGATTCATGGTCTCCTCATTCCCAGCACATTGCACTTTCCCATAGGCCAAGGGTATTTTGATAGGAGAAAGCAGTTGCTGCCACCAATTTGTCTGAATCTCTTTCAGGAAGTGCTACATGGCATGCTGAAGTAACACCAGGATGGTTTATGCACCATGTATTGGAATAGAGGGAGTTTGGCAAGCTGCCAAAACATGCTGCACTGAGGGAAAAACAGAGGGAAAATGGTGATTTTTGACATGTTATAATTTGGACAAATCTGAATGGATTTACAGGTGGACAGCACAAGGCACCTCCCTCTGTCCATGACTATCCCTCTCCCAAATTTCAAAGTCCTGCTGTAAACCATGGAGGTACCAAACTTTCAAAACAAAAAAAAAATGTTCTGAAGAATTTTTATAATGGTGTTAGGCAACCTTAACACGGGGGTTGCTACCTGTACTGTACTGAGAATTGCAACACCTGTTAAACCACAAGGAAAGAGGAGGAATTATAAAATTCAGAAAGATGTCACTGTTTACCCTAAAATATTGAAAGTGCCCTGAAAGACCCTGATCCACAGAAAAAGGTTTGTTCATAGTGTGCCAGTCATTTCGTTTAACGGAAAATGTAACTTCTACTGGCAATGTTACATTTTTTATATTCCAAATGCATTGAAAAGGAAAAGAAGGAAAATGTTGGGGGAAAGGAAGGTTCATTCTGAGGTCCCCATTTGAGACTAATACAACAATAACTTTCATACAAACAACAGATTTTCAAATAAAAAAAAAAAGTTAAATTTTTTTAAACAAAAGATTAGGACAAACTAGGAATAAAATAGTGAGAGCCACAGAATTTTCCTTGCTGTTATTTGTGTTGTAAACAATTTCCTAACGTGCATATTTGATGATCTTATCCCTTACCCAATGGCATAAAGAGTTTGAATAGGCTTCTTCCAGTGTCTTTGTGCTGCCTGCATCCTAATCAGGTACTCTGCATAGTGATAGGTCAGTTCACTGGGTTTGCCCATCAAGGCCTCATATTTCAGTTCTTTGCCAGTGATCTTCTTGTAAATATTTTCCAAACAAACCATGAATGTTCCATGCCCAAATCTAGAAAAGAGATGATTACAAATCAAATTGCATTGAATATAAAAAGAAAAAAAATAAAGAATTTCAATTTCATGGACTTTTGGTGATACTAAAACAATAAACCTATACTGTTAATTCCTGGACACTGGTACCACTTGCAGATTCCAGCACTGCTTTAAAGCCAGTTGGATGCTGTGGAACACTGCATTAACTCACTGGGAAGCATTTGGGGTAGGATGAGGAGAGCAGCAACCTCATGTGGTGTTTTGGGGGAAGAAGAGAAATGGCTCGGGGCTGAAAATGGAGTTTTCACTTAAGAAAGCTAACTTTTACAACTGAAAAATTTGGTGCAAGAAAAAAAAAAAGTGCATTTTTGCAAACCCTGCAAGAACAGAATGTGGCACTTTGCCTGTTTTGCCAAAGGCGTGTTACTTTTGCACAGCTCTGCTTGGGGTCTTGATGGCTATGGTGACAACTACCTCAATGAAAAATTAGTATGAAACACTGTCTCTTCTTGAATTTTGACTACTCCCTTTTATTAGCAACGTGGAGAAGCCCGGAATGGTGAAACTGTCTACATTACATGGTGTATGTGCTATAACTGCACCTACCTTGGAGACTGTGCTTCAGCCATCCACATCAGATCCATATTACAAGCAAGCACGGGTATATGTGGGTAACTGGCTTGATGATGTGGCTTTCCAGGACAGCCAGCTGTCAGCAGAACATCTATTATCAGTTGAAGATTAGTCTCCCATCTGACTGGTTCGCCAAACAAAACAACAGCTGCAAGAACAAGAAAACATTTGTGAAATATTAAAAATGAAAGGTAGATATAATGCAATAACTTTCTAAGATTTAACAAACAGCATCACACCCACGTTAAAATTTGATAAGGAAGAAAAGGAAATATCCTAAATCAATTTGAACAAACTTCTATATTTAAAAATTCAGTAAAGTGATCAAAGTGCAACATGGGGCAGAGACCATCTTTTTGTTCTGTGTTTGCAGAGCCCCTAGCACAATGGGGACCTGGCCTATGAGTAGAACTCCAAGGCATTATGATAATACAAATAATAAATAATAAGATTATGATTTTGGTTCAATCTACCTTAAATTTCAAATCTCTTTCGTTACAGGAGGATTTCAGAAGTTGTTAAAACCTCATACTGTAATCCACAGGTTTTACAAGATGAATTAACTAAATTGCCCCATACAACTGAACAACACTGACACTTCTAATCACATTTATAATATTGTGACTGCCATGAATTAACATACAGCACTGTATATAATAATCAGATCTACCAGGACTACCATCTGTTTGTCTCTAGACAAAATACAGTATGGATGTTTATATTCCTAGCTGATTTCTCCAATCACTAGGAATAAGTCATGGGATAGATCCAGCTCATAATTTTTTTCTTTCATTCTCAAGCCCAGTTTCTTACTCCCCACATTTCAAACAGATGGAGGTGAGAAGAGGAAGGAATGCCTCTTGCCACAACTTTGCAAATGACTCTGCTGACCAGTGTAGGAGCAGGATTGATTGACTCTGATGGGATTCCAGTTCAGCCCTCCTTTCCAGAAACAAAGAAGCACAATCTGCTAGAGGAAGGCAAAAAGGAAAACAAGCCCCTTATCATCCTTCTATCACCCCTAAGAGGCCCATGGATGAAAACTGCACATTCACACTGTGACATTCTGTGCCTTGGGGGAGCACCCTGTAACCCCCCATATTCCTCCTCTGTAAATAATTGTGATACTAAATATAAAGCATGCCTTGTAAGGTATCAGGGGAAAGATTATGATCTGCCGAAAGTCATTTCTCTATCCATATAGGTATATCATTAATGCATGTGAAGTTATGAGAATTGTGTTGTATGGTGGTCACTAAAGGATGCTGTAAGTTGGGGAATCAGCCAGATATTAGCTCCCCAGAGTAGGGTGACCAGATGTCCCGATTTTATCGGTACTGTCCTGATATTTGCTTGTTGTTTGGTCGGGACACTGGACAGACAAACAATTTTGCCCTCCGCTCCGGTGCACAGGCAGAGCCCGGAGGGGCTCTCGCCCCCCCCCCGCCCCGACTCCGCCCCCTCCTCCCCCCATTGGATCCCTCCCCAAATCCCCGCCCCCCAGCCCTGCCCCCTCACTGCCCCATTGGATCCCGAGCCGGGCCTGGGGAGGAGATGCCCCTGTGCAGCAGCCTGGGCATATGGGCCATGGCCAGCCGGGGCTGGGAGCGCTGCAGTGCAGCGCGGAGGCTGCTCCAGCCCTGCAGCCCACGGGGCAGCGCGAAGCGGGCAGGGCCCGGGTGGGTGGCGCGGCTGGGGACTTGGGCCGCCCGCTGGAGACACGCGGTGGAGAGGGGCTGCAGGGGCGAGACTTGTCCCAGGCGGGGCTGCCGGTGGACAGGGGCAAGGAGCTGGCCAGGGTCCCCCGAAACGATAAACTTCCCCGCCACTGCCGGGAAGCCCCGCGCCTCTCCCGCTCGGGTGCGCTCCAGCGGCTCACCCCGCCGGGAAGGAGCCGCTGGAGCGCAGCTGAGCGGGAGAGGTGCGGGGCTTCCCGCCGGCGGCAGGACGCACCGCATGTGCCTGGGGAGGGCGGCTCCGCGGGGAAAGCAGGGCGCGCGGCCGGGGCGCTGTATGTGATCCGGCGGCGCGGCTGGGGCCTGCTAATCCCCCCTGGACCCTGCAAAACTGCCTTTTTTTTTTTTGCTCTGCCCTGCCCCCGCGTCCCGATATTTCATCCCTGTGATCTTGTCACCCTACCCCAGAGCCCCAGAGGCAACATCAAGGAAAGTAACCAACACCCAGGCGGGGTGTCAAACAACCCATCAACAACCACTGTCCGGCTAGGGAGCTACAATTCAATGACGGCCACACCAGGGGAATTGCTCAACCTTGCCTGGAGAGTCAGCAATACCTCCACACATGCCTGGACTCCTGAGCCCATAGGCGCTGACTCTGTGGGTGCTCTGCGGCTGGAGCACCCACGAGGAAAAATTAGCGGGTGCTTGGCACCCACTGGCAGCCAAGCTCCCCCGCCCCAGCCTCGACTCCTCCCCCCCCGCCCCCAAGCGTGCCACATCCCCGCTCCTCCCCATCCCTCCCAGCGCTTCCCCCTTCTCTCCCCCCCCCCGCTGCCTAACAGCTGTTTGGTGATGCTTAGGACTTTCCCGGAGGGAGGGGGAGGAGGCGGAGAAGGGGCAGGGACTTGGGAGAAGGGGGTGGTATGGGGGCAGGGCGAGGGCATGGCAGGGACTTGGGGGAAGGGGGTCGGGGACTTTGAGGAAGGGGTTGAATGGGGGCTGGGAGAGGGCGGTGCAGGGGCGGGGCCAGGGGGTTAAGCACCCACCAGGCAGAGGGGAAGTCGGCACCTATGCCTGATCCCCAAGCACGTAGGACTGAGGCAGACACAGTGGTCCCATGCTGGGCTTTTCTCCTTCACCCACCTAAGCTGCAAGCAACAAGGACACTCTGAAGACTCCAACTGAGGCAACTGGCCCAGATTTCAAGGGTGAAATCTGTATACTATGGACTGCAATATCCAGTAGGGTCAGAAAAACTGCTTAATCTAGATGTTGCCCAGTTTAATAGGGTTGAGAGTTTAGACTGTGTGGTTATATTTCATTTTCTTTTGGTAACTAACTGACTTTTGACATATTGCTTAATATCACTTAAAATCTATCTTTTGTAGTCAATAAACTTCTTTTACTGTTTATCTTTACCAGTGAGTTTGCCTGAATTGTGTGGCAAATGTGATCAGGTTTGCAAAGGCTGGTGTATATCCACTTTCCATTGATGAAGTAGTGAACCAATTAATAAATCTGCATTGCCCACCTTGAGCAGTGCAAGACGGTATATTCCTGAGGTATAGTGCTGGGGGGATTTGGCATTGGTGCCTTTCTCTGTGTGATTCATGAGTGTCTCCAGGAACATTCGTGCAATATAGCTGGGTGTAGGGCTTCACATGCAGTTGTGCTGAGCGATAATAGCACCTGGAGGGGTTTGCTGCAGATCACTAGCAAGGCATTGTGAGAGACAACCCAGGCTGGAGAGAGTTCAGGGGGCACACGGTTCCAGGCTGCACCCCGGGGATCCCGTCACACACACAATGACTATGTTACTGTAGTGCACACACATGTTTTGCATACATTTTATGTAGAAATTCTAGGGTTCCCTCTGCCAACCGTCCAAACCATCAATGGGGGGGGTTCAAGGATTTGTAACTGTAAATAAAATTTACAATGAAGAAGAGATGACATTTAATCTATGCTAGGACAGTTGCAAGATAGGAACACGGAAGACATACCCTCAATTTTGGGAAGTTCCACAGCTGGCAAATGCTGCAACAAGAAAAAGTAAAGTTATCTCCACTATGTTAAACATCCTCTAGTGTTACTAACAAAAAGAAATACAAAGCATTACTTCCAAAACCGTTCTTTGGAGAACTTATAGAAGATGCACTTTACATTCGTATGTAGCTAGTTCTTGATGTCACTTTGCTTAAAAATTAATATTTCCAAGCACTGAAGTGTGGTAGAGCAGCAAGGACAAGTTGGACTGACGATTTTTGTATTCTACATTCACAGCTCTGCTCTATTTGCAAGACTTTGGGCAAGTCACAGAATTTCTGTTCCTCAGTTTACTCATCTGCAAAATAGGTATATTTACCTTTCTACCAGGGTCATTGCAAGGTTTTAATATTTGTATAACGCTTTGAGAATCTCAGCAGACAATATATTTGAGAATACTTCATATTTCTAAGGAAATCAACAGATGTTTTACAACAACTGCTACACTAGGTTCATCTGGAAGGTAATGATTTGCACTTCCTTCTCCACCCTTCCCAGAGATGACACACAAGTTAGCACTGTCATGGACTCTTATCTTTGCATGGTTGCATGGCAAGCTGAGAGGTGACATTACTGAGTTACACACAGTGAACCTCAACTTGGAAATTCTGGCTTATGTTGTTCTGTGTAAAATCTTCAGTTTTATCTAAGCATAGTTCCATTGATGGTGATAACATACAGAAGACTGCTCCAATCTCTCCAGTACATCTTTAATTGGGTTCATGTAAATACCTAAACTAAAGAAGCAAAATATATTGAATTACTTTCCAAAGCATCTCCTACCAGATTCTAGCTCTATTTTCATATGCACATTAACTCATTTGTTGTATTTTGGCCCAAATCCATATTTTGTCACGTCATTAAAAATGAATTTTCTTAATTAAAAAAAAAAATCAAGAATTGCAAGAGCTCCAAAAGAGCAGCTGAAGTTTGTGTAATTCCTTCCTCATAAAACAGATAGTTAGTGACTCCTCTGGAACTGTTCCTAAACACATGCAATGTGCTTATGAAATATCTGTTTGGAAGACACAACGTGAAGGGGGATGAGGGTGCCTCTGGGCAATAATCTGCATTTCTAAACGAAGCCATTTCATAGTTTATTTTGCCCCCAAGATTTCTCTACACAGTATGAGCAGATATTTGGCCTGCTTATGATCAGCAAGCCCTAGGCCATTTTTAAAATGTTTTTATGTTTATAGCTCTTATTTTTAATCTTGCAAAGTACAAAAAGGGGAAACATTTTTCCTGCACATTTTTAAAGCAAATTTTAATGATCGTGAAATAATTGATATTAGAAGTTCTCTGCACATAGCTGGTAATCACCGCGCAAGCTTCCTAACTCCATCAATGACCCACAAAATAAACCGAAAGGAATCAACTCTATGGTGAGTGTTCGTTTTCCCACACAGTTAATCATGTGGAGCTAATCAGCCTCTATAGAGACTGCCAACAAGAGCATCAATTAGTGGCACTGGTGGTGGTAGTGGGTTTTTTGAGAGACCTTGCATGATAGTTCTGATGACAGTTCTGAACTGTAGCAATAAAGCAGATTTATGTTCAAAATGCTGACACAACCGGATTTGCTAGAATATCACTAAGAAAAGTGTGTTTTAGTTCCCATTGTACTCTTGTTGCACACTTCTTTGGACCAGATCTACTTGGGCTTCCAACCATGTCATTAGAAGATTTGCATATTATGGCAAATTATACTTCAGGCTAACGATTTTAAATTATGTACATCATACCTATGAGTAACGTCAAAGATTATGTAGTATTCAGTTGCTGTTTTGCCATCTAAAGTATATAAAGTCACGAAAGAGTCAGAATTACTATTATTTAGTTATCTGTTGCATATCTCAAAGCAGTTTCCTAGAGAGAGGTAAGATTTAGCTCATACAAACTTTTTGGGTTGCTTAGTCACACTATTTTTCTCTCGTCTTTACAGGCTGCTAAAAGTACGGTATGTGCATTTTTACACTTAGGCAATTCTATCTTGCAGTCATTTCCTGATGCTCGTGTAGTTGGCTGTTCTCAACTGTTCAAACTTATTCTGTAATCAGTAAATACTGAGTGACTGAGAACAACCTGTACCTTTACAGACAGAAGTTAAACAAAAGGCTTCAATTAACTTTCATTAATACATATTTGCAGATTTGTACTTAAGGGAGTATCACATGTACATCAAATCAACAATACAGTGAAGGCACCATTCCAAGGGCAGACAAAGGCTATCCTGGGTTGTTGGTTTGTTTGTTTTGTCAGATATCACATGAACATCACCTGCTGTAGAAAACTGGCTTAGAGTGTGTGTATGTCAGTTTTAGCTATCAATTTTCAGACATTACCAGCTTGAATTGGAATAGTAATTTATCAAGGACAGAAATTTACAAAATGACTGAAGCTACTGAGCAGCCAACTGTGTATTCTCCAATGGAAACTATAGATTTGGGGTAAGCATTTCCAGACCAGGCATCAGTGAAACAAGGGCTGACTGGCTACTCAGTTAGTAAAGATTTTGACTTCAGGGCACAACCGTTTGGCCTGTATTACTCCTGCCTCAAAAGAAGCATATGTTGTACTATATTTTGTTAGGCAACTGGTTGTTAGAGTTGGATGGGAAACTGTTTTTCCATCCCAAAAGAATTTGATATTTCAAAAAATATTTCTGACCCAAACTGCGACAAAAAGGCAAAAATCTCAAAAACTTTCATGAACTGATAATCCAAACAAAATTTCAGATCGGGTCAATCAAAACATTTCATTTTGATAGTTTCAAAATGTTTTGGTTTCGATCTTTTAATTAAGACCTTTAATTTATATTAACAAGTATAAATTAAAATTTCAAAACAAAGAAGTTTTGACAAAAAACAAACCTTTCATTTAGAAAATGTTAAAATGGGATATTTTGACAGTTTCAATGCTTTTTGCCACTATCAGTTTTGGTTTAGACAAATCCAAGTTTTCCAACAAAATACATTTCATTGGAAAATTCCTGACCAGTTCTGCTAGTCATAACCTAGATTTAAAGGAAACAGATCGAGCAGAACTAATAGGAGGAGACTGAGGGAGAATCACCTGAAAAGGACATTTTGGAGAACTGTTAGTATGGCTCCAATTTTTGCTAAAAAAGTAAATATTTAGATATTCACAGCCTATCAAAATTAAAGTAAGATTGTTGAGTTTAAAAAATATATATTTTTTAAAGGAGAAACACTTCAAACAATCAAATGCGCAGGGGAAACATTGTTACACAAGGAAACTCCCAAGAAACTTCAAGAAAGGAGAGAAGGAATTTATTTTTGACAGAAGAATTTCAGACAGTGTACCCCAAATATTAAGGAACTAGCCTGAAAAGATTCTTTAGTCTGAGAAACTACAAAGAAGAATGTTGTTTAAAAAAAGAGGAGAGATTTCTTCTGAGTGCTTATGAAAGGTAGTGAATTGAGAGTACTGCAAACTGAAGCAACGCTCCATTTACATACAAGTTTCCTTACCAACGTGCCTCCATCTCACAGGTTGTACTACGGCAATAATACTGAAGTCAATTTACGAAGAAAATCCATTGCAGCAAATTCAGAAATCTTGGGCAATGGTACTGGCTTAAAGCTGGATCCCTGTGCTGAGGCAGCTATGCATGCAGTCACAGCTAGGGATCTGGCAATCCACAAGAAGAAACAATTCATATAGCAAGCCTGGGATCCTAATGCCTGAAGTTCAGCGTGAAAGGGAAATTCAGCAGAAATACAACACACTGTTATGTATGCCTATGTATCTGCTTTGATATATTTTAGTTAATAGGATAGGTAAGCAAGCAGTTCCTTCGGAGAGAATGCAACAATTTGCAGAACATTAATGTACAATCAAAGCAACACCACAACTTAGTAGTAGTAACTTGCCACTACTGTCACTCTTATGGGAGCCGGGGGGGGGGGGGGGGGTATCGGGGGGGAGCCATGTTAGTCTGTATCCAAAAAAACAACAAGGAGTCCGGTGGCACCTTAAAGACTAACAGATTTATTTGGGCATAAGCATTCGTGGGTAAAAAACCCACTTCTTCAGATGCATGGAGTGAAAATTACAAATGCAGGCATTATTATACTGACACATGAAGAGAAGGGAGTTACCTCACAAGTGGAGAGCCAGTGATGACAGGGCCAATTCAATCAGGGTGGATGTAGTCCACTCCCAATAACTGATGAGGAGGTGTCAATTCCAGGAGAGGGAAAGTTGCTTTTGTAGTGAGCCAGTCACTCCCAGTCCCTATTCAAGCCCAAATTAATGGTGTTAAATTTGCAAATGAATTTTAGTTCTGCAGTTTCTCTTTGAAGTCTGTTTCTGAAGTTTTTTTGTTCGAGTATGGCTACTTTTAAATTTGTTATAGAATGTCCAGGAAGATTGAAGTGTTCTCCTACTGGCTTTTGTATGTTACCATTCCTGATGTCTGATTTGTGTCCATTTATTCTTTTACGTAGAGACTATCCGGTCTGGCCAATGTACATGGCAGAGGGGCATTGCTGGCACATGATGGCATATATCACATTAGTAGATGTGCAGGTGAATGAGTCGCTGATGGTGTGGATGATGTGGTTGGGTCCTCTGATGGTGTCGCTAGAGTAGATATGGTGACAGAGTAGTCAGCGAGGTTTGTTACAGGGATTGGTTCCTGGGTTAGTGTTTCTGTAGTGTTGTGTGTAACAGGTTTTTTACCCACGAAAGCTTATGCCCAAATAAATCTGTTAGTCTTTAAGGTGCCACCAGACTCCTTGTTGTTGTTGTTGTTTTTTTTGGGGGGGGAGGAGAGTTACCTCTCCATCTCTCTTAGATAACTGGTAGACTTTCCCATGTAGCAGATTTGTCAGGCAACTGCATTAAATCCAAAGTCTTACCTGTTTTCCTCAATATTAGATAGATCTAAGACTGTAATGCAACACTTTTTTCAAGTCAATCAATTAAAAAATGCCCTAGACTTTATACTGGAGAGTCAATGTGAACTTCAATAAAAGTACTGGCCAAGCTGACTTATTAGACAAGTATACTGAATAGCTTTTTAAAGTGTTGCAGAGAAACAAGTACATCGGTAGAACTCATGAAGTCAAAGTCAAAAGCATATTAAAAATGGAATAAACTAAAAAGCCAATTTTGTGATTTTTAGACTATGAAGAAATCTCCAAAAGGTAGAATGTCAGCCAATGAACACACAGAGAAAGGTTTCAACATAAAACATAACGCACTCACCAAAACTTTAGGCCGTCTGTCATGGTCAACCATATCCAGTAAAGGGTATGTCTCACGCAGTATATCAATGGTAATAGGCTGACAAAAACCCAGACTGGGAAAGCACCAGTTAAGGATCCAAAAATACTTATTTGTACAGCTTAACAGATTTTAAAAGTGTGTGAAGTCAGTAAATTCTATTATATAAAGTTTACAATGCTGGCAAAGCAAGTCACATATCAATGAGCCTGACTGTTCTTGTATGAAATAGATAAAACACTTCATATATTTTGTCCTACAGATATATTGTGAGAATTCTCAGATTGAAAGTAATGGTAAAAATTAGGGCTGTCAAGCGATTAAAAAAATTAATTGCAATTAATCACACAACTAAAAAAATAAATCATGATTAATCATGCTGTTCCAAAAATATTTAAGTAAATGCTATTCTATTATTGTTGATGTTTTCTGCATTTTCAAATATATTGATTCCAATTACAACACAGAATACAAAGTGTACAGTGCTCACTTTATTTTTGATTACAAATATGTGCACTGTAAAAAACAAAAGAAATAGTATTTTTCAATTCACCTAATACAAGTACTGTAGTGCAATCTCTTTATCATGAAAGTAGAACTTACAAATGTAGAATTATGTAAAAAAAAAAAAAACTCCATTCAAAAATAAAACAATATAAAACTTGAGAGCCTACAAGTCCACACAGTCCTACATCAGCCAATCGCTCAGACAAACAAATTTGGTTACAATTTGCAGGAGATAATGCTGCCCGCTTCTTGTTTAAAATGTCACCTGAAAGGAAGAACAGGCGTTCACACATGGCACTGTTGTAGCCAGCGTCACAAGATATTTACGTGCCAGATGCACTAAAGAGTCATATGTCCCTTCATGCTTCAACCACCATTCCAGAGAATATGCATCCATGCTGATGACGGGTTCTGCTCGATAACAATCCAAAGCAGAGCGAACCGACACGTGTTGAATTTCATCATCTGAGTCAGATGCCACAAGCAGAAGGTTGATTTTCTTTTTTGGTGGTTTGGGTTCTCTAGTTTCCGCATTGGAGTGTTGCTCTTTTAAGACTTCTGAAAGCATGCTCCACACCTTGTCCCTCTCAAATTTTAAACGGCACTTCAGATTCTTAAATCTACAGTTGAGTGCTGTAGCTATTTTTAGAAATCTCACATTTGGTACTTTCTTTGTGTTTTGTCAAATCTGCTGTGAAAGTGTTCTTAAAATTAACAATATGTACTGGGTCATCATCCGAGACTGCTATAACATGAAATATATGGCAGAATGCGGGTAGAACAGAACAGGGGAAATACAATTCTCCCCCAAGGAGTTCAGTCACTAATTTAATTAACGCTTTTTTTTTTTAAATGAGCATCATCAGCATAGAAGCATGTCCTCTGGAACGGTGGCCGAAGCATGAAGGGGCATATAAATGTTTAGCATATCTGGCACATAAATATCTTGCAATGCCGGCTATAAAAGTGCCATGCGAACGCCTGTTCTCACTTTCAGGTGATATTGTAAATAAGCAGGCAGCAATATCTCCCGTAAATGTAAACAAATTTGTTTGTCTTAGCGACTGGCTGAACAAGAAGTGGGACTGAGTGACCTTGTAGGCTCTAAAGTTTTACATTGCTTTTTTTTGAGTGGAGTTATGTAACAACAACAAAAATCTACATTTGTAAGTTACACTTTCACGATAAAGAGATTGCACTACAGTACTTGTATGAGGTGAACTGAAAAATACTATTTCTTTTGTTCATCATTTTTATAGTGCAAATATTTGTAAGAAAAAATAATATAAAGTGAACACGGTACACTTTGTATTCTGTGTTGTAATAGAAATCAATATATTTGAAAATGTAGAAGAACATCCAAAAATATTTAATAAGTTTCAATTGGTGTTCTATTGTTTAATCGTGTGATTAATCACGATTAAGTTTTTTGATCGCAATTAATTTTTTTGAGTTAATCATATGAGTTAACTGTGATTAATTGACAGACCTAGTAAAAAACAGTTAACCTGTGTTGTTCAGATCCTCCAGTGATAGCACAGGTAAGGAAAGAAATCACCACACTTGCTATATCTTTTTTATCTTTGTTTAAAGAGAAACTTAAACGAGTTAATCAGAAATCAAGGCAACACCAGCTAACTAAGCATTCTAAAATTGTTAATCATTTGCAAAAACAGTTTGGTTACTTCTGTAGTTAATTTACCTTCTACAAGTATTTAAAATAAGCAATTCACTGCTTCTTAGGAAGGAATGGAAAGGAGGAAGAAAGCAGAAAGAGCAATGTCTCCTATGTTGAAAAAGAAATCTTTTAATTTGTGTTGCAATGCACTTAAATGGAGACAAATCCCATTAATTTCAACCTTAGTTAATAGAGTGGATCAAATCAAAAACATCCTGTTTAATTTGTGTAAAAGCAGCACATAGTTCCTACACTCAATACTAAATGGACCTTCCCTCCATAATAATTCATGTGACAGCACAGAAGAAGTGATAAAAATATTTAACAATTGAAAATTAAATGATCAGAATGTGTTTCTTTCAGAACTATCATCTCAGTCACATGTTAAAATTATACTTTAAAGTAAGACTATCCGGTGTAAAGATATTATCTAATCATACCTGGGGTTTATACTGTAGATTACATAGATTTTTAAATTCAGTCTTGTACAATATCCTGGTTTCTTAATATCTACTCTCTCTACCAGATCCAGACAAGTAAACTAATCCCTCATGTACATGTCATATTTCCCAACATTTGTATTAAGTACTAAAAAGAATACAAACATCCATGCTCAGTGTCCCTCCATTAGTAATTGAATATTAGTAACTTTCACATCTCAAAATCTGTAGAAACATTTGACCTTTACAGTGTTAAGCATTAGTCATGTTTTACTATATCTCTTCATGACATAACAGGTAAAATGCACTCTAATACACTACTAATTTTTAATGAGACACTATAGTAGGACATTAGTTGACCTAGAAGACAGTGTTAGGGTACGTCTATACTTACCTCCGGGTCCGGCGGTAAGCAATCGATCTTCTGGGATCGATCCCGGAAGTGCTCGCCGTCGACGCCGGTACTCCTGCTCCGCGAGAGGAGTATGCGGAGTCGACGGGGGAGCCTGTTTGCCGCGTCTGGACCCGCGGTAAGTTCGAACTAAGGTACTTCAATTTCAGCTACGTTATTAACGTAGCTGAAGTTGCGTATCTTAGTTCGAAGTGGGGGGTTAGTGTGGACCAGGCCTAAGTGTTCATTATCATGTGAGTTTACATTAAATATTAACTATGGGTTCCCAGGAAAAGAAAAAAATTTAGAGGCAGTTTCAAATTTGAAAATGCAGACTTCACACCAAAAAGCCCTGTATTTCTGCTTTTTTAATAAAAATATTCAAGTTAACAAAAACAATTTCATTCATGAACTGGTATAACCTGAGACAAGTGGCCCAGCAAATTTGTTAGGCTCTGTACATAGAGGCTCTATAAACTGGTTTTAGACATATTACATCATCTGTTAAATAGCATTATGACATCTCAAGACTCATCCCTGAAGCAGTCAAAACCCTTAAGCTGTGATTTGTCACTCTAATTTAAGTTTACGGAATACTTCATCATCCTGGCCTAAAACATATATAATAGTAAGTGAAAAAAATTGGAGAGTATTATACCAGAACATCAATTTCATTACTTTTCAATGTAGAAGGTGAACATTGTGTTAGAATTCCCTCGCCCTCTAAAATACACCATGTACTTTTGCTCAAGTGACGGATGGCCTTTACCTGTTCTACATGATAATCCGAACTGGCTGAATGAAAGTACTTAAAAGCAGAAAACGTCCTTTTCAAAAGGATACTATTTGGCAATATCAAGAAGTGGTCCTTGCCCCGACACCAGAACGCATTTGTCATGGTAACGTTTGAACATCCGTAAAGGACTATGAGACATCACAACTTGGTCTTGTGAAATCTGTTTGGGATAAAATAGGAATTTGGTATTGCTTTCAAATCATCTTTATCTTTGCTAGATTTAATCAATAATGATGCAAACTGTATTTCAGTTTGTTAACCAAAAGTCACTACAGAAAATATGCCTCCCCCCACCTCTGCCACAGTCATCATTCAGTTGGTTCCCAAATTTCCTAGCCAGAATACTGTACATGATACATGGCAGAAAAAGCATTCTGAGTCTTAGGGCTGGTCTACACTGGGGGGGGGGAGTCGATCTAAGATACGCAACTTCATAGCGTAGCTGAAGTATCTTAGATCGATTTACCTTGGGTCTTCACGGCACGGGATCGACGGCCGCGGCTCCCCCGTCGACTCTGCTACCGCCGCTCGCTCCGGTGGAGTTTCGGAGTCGATGGGGAGCACGTTCGGGGATTGATATATCGCGTCTTAACGAGATGCGATATATCGATCCCCGATAAACCGATCGCTACCCGCCGAAATGGCGGGTAGTCTGGACGTACCCTTAGCTTACAAATGCACACAGCAAGCCTCCATTTTAGCTTACAGAATTCCTGTATTCAGCATGGGCACAAATCATCAAATTGAGACACCATTAATAGACTGAACATGGGATCTCCGGACTCAGAAATGCCTTATTTCTAATCCTGGATCTGTCACCAGATTGCTGTGTGGGCCATGCTACGTCACTACACCCCTCTCTGTCTTAGTATCAATATCCAGTCGTTGAGTAAGTAAATTTTTCTCTAACAACTATATGATCTGAAAAATTGGGATAATAATCCATTACTCAGCAGAAGGTTGTTACAATAAATCAATGTTTGTAACAGGGTTTTGAAGACTGTGAATTCTAAGGATTATGATGATACTTCAGGTCATTTTAACACCTTAATATTTTAGGATATTATTTTATACGTAAATATATATTGCCCATGGCACCTATTGAAATGAGGATCACTAGAGAGTGAAAAAATCTTGTTCTAAACTTTAAACATTTATCTTAGCAGGATTCAAACACCCAACCCTTGACTCATGACAAGCACTTTAACCCCATGGGCAGCAGTGCCCAGTCCTCCTTGTGTCATATACCAGGACAGAAGTTTTTTCATGTAAAGAGGGAGGCAGGAACTAGGAGCAAGTTATCATCTTGGATGTTGATGTCATTGCAGGAGATCAGTTTGCATGAGCAGAATTTCATGCCAGCAGGAAATAGAGCTACTGGTGTGGAACTCTTAGGCAGATAATTACTACCAAAATAGTAACGTACCCTTTGATACTGAGAAATACCATTAGTAGTAGTTAGTAATAATAATACTTTGCACTTCTATAGTTCCTTCCAACCAAATATTTCAAAGGGCTTTACAAATATTTGATTTTCGCTTATGCAAAAAGAAAACCAGAAGATTGTTAACTGAACAGCTGAAATGCATTTAATGCAAGATCCTCCCCTCATTACATTCCCTCTAACAAAATTTTGAAACCTTTAAAAGACGTTTACGTTACTCACCGGCACTCCCAAAATATGAGACAACTGATCAGCTTTCTTCTGGCGAAGGCAGTTTCCTGCATTGGTGACAAATACTACAGGCACCAAGAATTGTCCCTGAGAATTAACTAGCTTTTGAAAGGCTTTTTTTGCAGCAGGAATTGGAGTCTTTCCTCGTACCAGTACCCCGTCAATGTCGAAGAGGAAGCCAAAGGTAGGTATGTTGGGCTGTAACGAGAAAAAATATGTAATTATTTCCATCACTGCACACGTTCAATAAAGCTTAAAAACAAACCAAGAAAAGCTGTGTGACCACCTGGAGTTCTGTGAATGGGTCATCTCATCCCATGCACTAGGTGCCACACAGATAAAATCAGACACTGCAACATTTCTTATGGTTATGGGAGCACAACTGCCAAAGTTAGCAGTGCAAAATTTTTTCCCCTATCACAAGCCCTTTTTACTGCCTAAATAATTGTGACCTCCCTAGGGATTCTTACAAATGAGAATAAGATTCAAAGTATTTCAGAACATTGGTCCAAATTCAGCAAAACTGGCACAAGAAGATGTAAAGTATGCACTCCAGAGTCAGTTAGTTTTTTTGTGCCACAGAGAGATATGTTCTCTGTAGAGTGGTGTAAGTTGTGTTTTTTCCCTGCTCTGAATATTTATCAGTATTTTGTATGTGCGTCTAATGAGGAGACTGGTGCTTTCCACTACCAACAAAATAAACATAATACAAAGCAGATGTGGTTATGGTGGGTGGGCTGTGACTGCAACTGCAGCAGAGTGTTCATTTTACACAACGCTTAGATATTAAGTTTTCCCTTGCGACGTTCACATCACCCTATTTCCAGGCACATTCAACTGTAGCAGGGGTTCTCAAAACTTCATTGCACCATGACCCCCTTCTGACAACAAAAATTACTACATGGCCCCAGGACGGGGGGACCAAAGTCTGAGCCTCACCGCCCTGGGTGAGCCAAAGCCGAAGCCTAAGGGCTTCAGCCCCAGGCAGGGGGGCTTGTAACCTAAGCCCCGTCACCCAGGGCTGAAGCCCTCGGGCTCCAGCTTTGGTTTTGGCCCCAGGTCCCAGCAAGTCTAAGCCAGCCCTTGCAACCCCATTAAAACAGGGTCGAGACCCACTTTAGGGTACTGACCCAGTTTGAAAACCGCTGAACTATAGCTTAACAAGTAGGGCTCCTCTTTCTCACACCGCACTCCAGCAAGTACTCACCTTCCTGAATGCAAGAAATACTGTATTATAGGAGGAACTAATAGTGCAGCCTATTACGGTTGCCCAGCACTTCCCATTACAAGACCCTGTTTTCCATTGCTAATAACTTTGCCAGCCTTTAACCATTTGGGCTGAAGTTTCCCATGCTGGGTGTCTGCTGCAGACAGAAGCTTTTGGAAAATATCACCTAAAACGATTCAGCCATTCCAAGAAGGAGGCAGGAGAAAAATATGTTTTGTTCATGTTAAAAAAATTCTGAAGACTTTCTCTTTGAACAACTCTAGCACCTCCCTGCTTTTGAGTAGGGACTTGAAATTTGGCAGGGGGTGGCCGTTATATCAGGGATGAGCCTTTTGCTGTCTCTTTGAAAGTGTGTCCAAATTTAGCCAACAAGCTTTTGTAAAACTGCAGTTCACACATGCTCAGATTTTAGCAGCTAAAACCTGAAAAGTATCCTTCCTGAGCATGCTCCATCCCCTCATAGCTCCTGTGTATGAGCAGACTGCACATCCATCATCCCCACAGAGTGATGGTGCACACTCCCTCCAGCCCAGGGCTATAGGGATAAAGCCAGACTTCCTCTGAAATGGCTGCTTGGAACTGGGCACTGGAACTGAGAGCACGGAGACAGTCTCATCCTGTGCTCTCACTGACACTACCTTCTCCCTGCTGGCACCCAGAAAGCATCTGATTCAAATGCAAAGGGGAAAGAACCCAGACTAGAGGGAAGGGGAAAGAGTAGATTAGGACTGAAACAAATATTCCTGAGTCTCTAGATTCCTCTACTGTCAGTAAATCTCTGTGAAATCCATGACTAAGTGTGTATCTCATCTCCTTCTAGTGCATATGCATTATGATCATATAATTAAAGACTATCATACTATTGAATGGGGAATGAACCACAGCTGTGTAGCAAAGGAGGCTGTTATCTGTAGGATCCTTTCCTTATCTGTTGTAGAAATTGGAAGATATGTGGTGAATGAGGCAGGGGATTGCAGGAAGAGAAAGGATGGTCTCATGGTTAAGGCAGCTGAATGTTCTATAGCAGAGGCAGGTCTAGAATCCAGTTCTCCAAGACAAGTCACATAAACCAAATTTTTCCACAGGGGGTCACTAATGGTATTCCTCATTTTTTGGATGCCCAAACTTGATACCTGGGGTCTGATCTGCAGAAGTGATGAACACTCACAGATAAAGTCAACAGGAGCTGTGTTCTGAATATATGAAGTACTATATAATACCAAGTACTGAAAAAATCAGGTCCTAGGCATCTGAATATTGAGCAAACAAAATTAGTGGAAACTTTTTACATTCATCTCTGTGCTTCAGTTCTCCATTTGTAAAATGGGGACAATACCACACACCCCCTCCCTTCCTCTCACATGGGTGTTGTGAAAATGAATTCATTCACATTTGTGAAGCACTCAGATACTGTAGTGATAAGCAGCACAGAAAAGCCCATGAGAAGATAAAGCAAAGTGTGAATATTGTACAGAAAATAAGGTATAGGGCCACGCACTGAACAATTAAGATTGTTCAAAATATTGAATACCTGCTCTTTAAGTGAGCACTGTCCATCCTTTACATGGAACGAGGCAGGAGTTTACAATGTAATTACAAGACAATCAAAATGCATAGACAAGAAGGCATTTCCTAACTTTTGAGGGTCTGACTTTAAAAAAAAAAAAGTTCTTTTAACATTGGGTGGGTTTTGGTTTTTTTTCTTTTGTGAATTGTATTTAACTAAGCATGAGCTGTTTATTGTTAAAAAAAAAGTCAAAAGATTTTCTTGGCATTAAGAATTCATATTTCTCCACCCAGAGACATTCACTACAATACCATGCCCTCTTCCCTTGGGCTTCTGACCCACAATTTGGGAAATGCTGTCCTAGAAAACCACATCTGTTGAGGAGATCCTATTACAAAACTTTCTGATTCTCATACTGTCATCTTTTAAAATGGGAATGTTAAATTCTTGAACTAATATTGGCACATTGCAGTGCTGTTCTTGACATGAATTCTGCATTTGTTGTATTTGATACACATTTCAGTACATAATTCCTTGATCTAAAAAGATTTCAGGTGTTAAGGCAAAAGGCTAGGAGCAGCTTGAATGAACACAGTTGCACGCATTTTTAAGAAGTCATCAAGCCTTACTAAATAACTAATATACTGTAGTTTGATAAATAATGATGTATTTCTTAATAGACTGTTCTTTATCTTTTCCGGTGAATGTATTGCTGATGTCTGGCAATCTTAATACTGAAGGCTAACGCGTCAGAATCCTTTCAGTTATGAGCTATATTTTTTTCAGTTATGTAAGATTAATTATGAAACCTTTGCTTCATCTCAATATGCACTCTAGCTCCCTAAAGCCAATTTTACTCTTTTGGAGGGGAGACAGCTGTTAAGTACTTTACAAAAACAAGAATTTAGGTCAACCAGCAGATCTTCCCTTAATGGATTACTGGCCAAGCACAGGTACAAGGAAGTCCCAAAATCATCTACACATCATCCTTTAACATCATTGTTGAGAGATTCATTTAATAAGACTCTGACTTGGATTTTAGAAGACTTAAGTTACCTGATTAGCTGTGGTGTAAAAAATCCATTTCATTCTGTTAGACAAAGAATGCAGACACCAAGAAGTTTCAAGCATGTTTAATAGCACCTGGCATAGAACCATGAACAAGCAATTTAAAAAAATTCATCTGCCTCGACCACTTCATCACCACCAATATTGCATATCTGCCAGCTGAAAGGATGCATACTGCAGCGATGCAATATTGGTTTTCAGCATCTAGTAAATGAAGGAGAAACAAAGAGAAAATATATCACAGCTCTTTCACCCCATCTCAAGTGAATGCACCCCCATACCCATTACTCTTAGAGGTGAACACTCAGAAGCAGAAGTGAGAATTGTAAACCACGCGCCATGGGATCCAGGGGATAGTGCATCCAGAAGACTTTTTGGTTCAAGTTCCACTCTCTGAGAACTGAAAGGGAGAAAAGCTGATGGTGTCTGTGGCAAGAACTGAAAAAAAATGGTGTGTGAAAGGACAAACAGATGCAGGCTGGGAACAGATAAGCTTTCTGGGGCAAGGACTGTCTCTCTGTTATTACTCCTGGGGGAATTCTGAGCCACTGCACACGTGCAGAATTCATGTCTGGCGCAGATTTTTTTCCCCCCACAGAAAATACATTTTTGCCTGAAAAGTGCTGCAGTTCTGCCTTTCACCCACCAGAGGCTGCTGTGGCACCAGAACAGCCAGCAGCCGAATGCATTCATCACAGCACCCTGCCGCCGAGCCAGGTCAAGACAGACAGAGTGGGGCACATGGGGCTGCTAGGGGGTCATGAACTGGAGTTCAGAAGGGTAGTAGGGGGACAGACTGGAGCACGGGCTCAGGAGCTAATGTGGGGACACCATTGAGCCAGGGGCTGAACGGCAAGAGTGTTGCAGGACCACATGGGAACAGGGGCAGAGGTGCCTGACTCAATGGGAGAGGCTCAGGGTCAGCCAGGGTCTGCATGGGGGAGGCTCCCCTACTCCCTACACTCCCTCCCCCATCCCTGAAAAAAAAAAACTTATTCCATACTTCTGCTACCTACACCCAACAACACTCCAGGTTCACTTCCAGGCTCCTTCCCTCTCCCTCAGCTCCTCCATTACCCTGACTCCCCCAAGCCTCTGCACTGCTTCTGAGGGGTGCGGGAAATATGTTTATGTACTGTAGTTTAAATGAATTACTCAAAGTTCTGTATTAATAAGCCTAGCAAGGAATCTATTTGTCAAAAAAAAAACATATCCTGAATCTTTTTTTTTTGTCTGTATTGTTACAGAAATACTGCTGACAGGTATTTTGAAATAAATTACCAAAATAATTGAAACTGGTGTGACTATATTGTGCTAATTTTGACACAAAATATGCAGAATTTTAAAATATTGTGCACAGAATTTTTTATTTTTTGGCACAGAATTCCCTCAGCA